ATTGTGATTGACGAATCTTTCCTTCCTCTCTCCCGAGAAGATAGATCTTGGAAAGACAAAAGCTTGACTCCACCCTTCCTGTCAACTGCTACGACCTACAAACATACTGAAAATTAACCATACACAAGTGGAATACTTTCTTCATAAACAACCCGTTAAAAATAAAACAAGAAAGACTTATATATGTTTAAAAGTTACTAGCAAAGGAAACACACCTCTGTATCCAATATGAATGTTGTAAATGCAGGGTTAGATAATTCTTTAATAATGTTTATCAAATCTGGAAATCTAGACGTTGAATCTTTCATTTGCCGTGAAAAAATTCGTATAGACCCATCAGCAAGTCTGTGGATTTGAGCACGCTGACCATCATATCTAAAGTAAAGAAACATATAATCACTCAGTCGTGTGTCCAAAACAAACTTATTGATGGCATACATAACATGAAGTAAATATTTGTTTGTATCCTTTCCTTCTTCCACATGTAAGGAAAAAAGACTGCATAAAATTAAGAGATAGCAAAAAGACAAGCTAAATTTGTAGAAATAAAAAGGCTTATTGGAATGTGTTGCAAAGTAGATAAAATTATCTGAAATAAATATAACAGATTATGCTCGTGTTTTTAGCAATGTATCACTTTAAAATGTTAGCATACATAACACATAAGATGTAATTACCTTACTAACATGTAATTTATTCGTAAAATCTTTCCTCCATTAATCAGTAGTTTCAGTTTAAGGCTTTAAGCTATGCCTATCAACTACCCAAGCAATCCTACTTAGTTCATGGAATTAATTAATACATTTCTGTTCGGTTCCTCCAAATCAGCCAATAACAACATGTAAATACATCCAGCAGTTATTAATGTAGAGGCCGGATTATTCGCTTTAGAGTTCTCAACCTTTGATAAAACTTTAATAAACCTACTCTAAGAGGATATCAAGCCAAACAACAAGGATTCAAGACCCCACACACCCACGGATGTCATGCAAGATCTTACTCCGGCTCCTGCTGTGACCATAACTATGACTTCTAGTGGCAGGCTGCCAGACATCAAGTAACTACAGGGAACCACTAGCAATCTGTAGTATTGATTTGGTAGCAACAAAGTGAAGTGGTTAAAGCTATGACCAAAATCACAACATAATTGTGATGTGGCTCTTGTCCACTTGACAACATTATTCATAGGAATTAGTAAGTGTTGGTAATACATAGTATACTAAGCCATTGTCCAGACACATAAAGCAGCTGCAGAGTTCTGCTGCTATCTCATGTCATCATTTTATGTTGGTCAGACCAAGATTTTGAAACACTTGAGCAGTTTCAAGCCTGCAACACCTTAGATGATATAAGCTCAATGATTATACAAGTAGGTTGTCATTTAATGTTTTTTTTTTTTTTTGCTGATTTTTCATAAAAATATTGCAATTTAATTTTCCTTCTAGTTGATGCAGCCCCGATGTGATGTGCTGAATCGATGCCACCCAAGTACAATGATAAGTATATTAAGTTGTTGTTGTTATTGTGGTATATTATCAAAGTTATTAATTATAAAAGTAAAACATATTATGTTTAGAAATCAAACTACTAAAAGGGACACGGCAAATAAAACCATTGATTTTTCCAACCCAAATACATTAGTATGACGTTCACTTGACTTCCAAGAGTTTATCAAAAATCTTAGTTTGTTTAAGTATGGAACTGCAACTACAAGAAACAACTTTACTCGGTATCCATAAAACATCTTATAAACATAGAAGAAGCAACTAGAAAGAAAAGATAACCAAAATGATAACCTAAATGGAACCAATATGTCGAGATAAATATATGCATAAAAATTTATCTTACAAATCAAGTTTGGCCATCTCTCATAAGTTTACAGGATGAAAATTCTCCCAAATAAAAAATTTATAAATTCCGAATTGAAAATCTACACCCTTTGATGTTATCTACAGTATGCAAGTGAAAAAACAAATCAAAACATTTCTGACATGCTTTTACCCATGTATTAAGTGATCCCAAAGTTCAACATTTGAAACTTTACGCATAATTATTTAATTTATGACACAATTGTACATAATTCATCCAACAATGTAGAAAGAGTAGCTCATCTCTCAATTTGGAAGGTTAATACTTGTAACTTGGAGGCAGCATATCTTTTTAAAATTACATGATATACCATCAATTTGCATGATCCACTCCTTTCATTTTGATCTATATGTCTTCACCAGTCTACAAACAAAAACTAGGTGTATTGAGTTTGAATTTACTCATGCATCAAGTGGTTGCAAGATTAATGGTTTACAACACTCAAAGAGACGGCATGAAACAAGAGGTATAAGACCTCACACATCAAGATTTTTCATTTATAGATGTTTTAAAATATCAAGTTTATAGTGAATGGAATGGAACATATACTAGAGTACCCTATCTTACATATTGATCCCTCTAATAAAGTGTCAAAAAATCTATAAATGAATTATCAAAAAAATCATTAAGTTTGTAACAACATGATGCATAGGTAATATATGCTCAACTTACATAATTTTTAGAGTGGCAATAAATAAGGAGATACAAAACCATTTCCTATCACCATTTGTTTACACCAAGGATCAATTTTCCCTTATCTTTTTTGCATTAGTTCTGGGTCAACTTACTAGACATATTCAAGAGAAATTCCCATAGTATATGTCATTTGCTGATAGTACAATGTTACTAATGAGATAGTGACAACATAATTTCTAAGGTGGAAATTCCGTGAGAAGCTCTCAAAAAATTTACAAATAGTACAACAAAAACGGTATACATGCAATGTAATTTTAGCAAAAACTATGAAGAGAGGGGAGCGTATAATGCATATCGATAGTTAACAAATACCTAAACAAAGTCAATTTCTTTATTTAGGGTCAATTATTGACCATGACGATGACATTGAGGATGCTATGGTTCATTAATGTCTAGACAGTTAAAATGGAGGCGTAATTCCAGGGTCTTATGTGACCGTAGAATACCTACTAGATTGAAGGGAAAATTCCGTAAGGCAATAATAATACTAACAACGCTTTATGAATTAAAATGTTGGGCAATTAAAAAAATGTGCAAAAAAATGTGCACAGTAGAAGAGATATTGCAATGGTCTTGCGCATATGCACACTATTGAATATTGAGAAAATATTGGATGGCCAAAATCCATACCGAATGATAAATTTAAGAGTGTCATGTAGAATGATGTGCATATATAATATAGTTTCCTAAAATGTAATCGACATATACTCAATGAAATCTAAGCATACAAAATATGAATAATGTATATTTAAGATCACTAATATATTGTAGAAACTTATTTACGGAAGAGAGCCTACTTCAATTTGCCTAAAACTTTCATAAAGCTGGAATTTTTGCTAAAAGAACATTGAAGAAATTTTGTAGAACTATATTGTTTTGTGACAAACCATATAAAAGGGCATATCAATCAACATATCGGCTGATGTATCGACCATATTGGTACATATCACAAAAAATAGCCAAAAAAGGTAAAGGATATTGAGGCCATATCATTTTGTAGATAGCCTTATAAAAGGATATATCGTCTATATCAAAGATATTAAAACTATGAATATACAATAAAAAATAAGATAAGAAATGAACGCATTCTTAGGAGATTAAAGATTGCTCCTATCAAGAATAAAATGAGAGATAATCTATAGAGATGGTTTGGTCAAAAACAAAGGAGGCCATTGGATGCACCTGGTTAGAAGAAGTGATACGATTATAGACAAAGAGGAGTAGATAGATCTAAAAGAACTTGATTGAAAGCAATTAAGAAGAATATGCACAAGCAACTTAACGAAGAAGATAATAAAAATGAATGAAAGAATAAAATTTATGTAGCTGAACACAAATGTTTGGGATACATGCTTGTTATTGTTGTTGTTGCTGGTGTTGCAGTATCAAAACGAGTGGCCATCTAATAAGTTTAAAAGAAAATTTATCAGTCTAGATTACATGATGGAACCTTCCAATTGAAAATACACTTTCTTCCAAAATGAAAATTCACATTGTTTGATGTGAAGTATGTAAACTATCTAGAAACAAATATATAACTCAAACATTTTTGACATGTTTACCAATGTATCAAGTGATTACAAAGTCACAATTTTAAACTTTTCACATAATTATTCAATATATAGAGACTTGACAAACATGTAAAGCACAATGAACTTATTCAGTTTCCATATCTAGGAATTATATGTACAAGCAAATCCTATGCCGTAAAAAAGGTAGTCCATCTATCAATTTGGTAGTACGTGTAGCTTGAAGAAAGAACATTCAGAACCTAGATGCTTCAGATACCTTTACAAAAGAACCTGTTCAAATTCAAAATGCACATCGCCTCAGATGTATCCTACACTAATCGCAAAGAAAACGACAATACATACATACATGGACACACATACACATACATAAATATACAAACACACACAAAAACACACGCGCACAGAGACGCACACATACATACAGACATACATACATACATACATACATATATATACATATATATATATATACATACATACATACATATATATATATATACACACACACACACACAGAGAGTGAGATTCATAAAAGTAACGTATACACACATACATATGCATGCATTCACACATGTATACTGGCTAAAGACAGGAGTGTACATTACTGTAATGCCAAATACATGTTACTTTTGCAGTTATATTTGGAAAGTAAGCCTACATTGTAATCCTCCTATATCAGTAGGCAAACAAATAGCAGATTAGGCTTTTAGGTTTCCAACATAAGCACATAGCTGGCAATGTGATCCAGGTGCCTGGCATCCAGCCATGACAACTATAACCACACAAAAGTACCTAGCAATTTCATGAAAGCACTTAACGCATAATAGAATTAGCTATTAGTCATATAAGATTAATTTCCCTTTTAAGAAGTAAATTTCTAACTTCTGCTTCATTTAGCCCATGGTTTCTCCGAACATGCTTGATATTTGGGCATTAATGGACACAAAATACCTCTTAGCATCTGTCAGTGAACGCTAACAATAAGTCTCAAGCCTTTTGACAATGTGAAGAATATCAGTCTAAAATTAGAGACAAACTGAAACATGGCAAATAACACCAAGCACAGAAAGTTTTGTGAAGAAAGAATTGGTTGAGGAACAATAATAGTCATTCAGAAGAGGCAAGAAACCTTTAAGCATGCTAAAGACAGACTTATATAAGATAAAACTTCTAAATACAACACTATATATTCTTAAAATAAATTAGCATAAGGATGAAACAATATTTTATAACTAAACCTTTTATTCTTTCTCGTTGTGGCCACAAGTGATATGTCAACAAGAATATTGCAACCTCATCCAATACTTAAGTGTAAGAAACATTTTGTTTTTTCAAAGCCACGTATACTAATCTGGCTTCATTTTGTCACTGAAGTTGTGTCAATCTGATGCTCATAGTCCTGGTTGTTATGATGAAAAGAAATACTAAGATCTACTTACAAATGAAGAACAATACGTACTTATATTCACAAGTAAAAGCTCTGTTTTGAAATGATGTTAGTACGTGGAGGGTCCCATTTGTAATTCTGCAAAAAGGAACAGGTAAGAGTAACATTTATGTAAAAATCGAACAAAACTCAACAATCTATTAGATATAAAATCTTACCTAGCAAGCATTGGTGGAATAGGTGTTCCTGGAACCATTTCTAAACTTGATCCAGAAAAGTTGATGCCTTTACTCATAAGAGAAGGAATAAGTAGGTCCTGTTCACATATATGACATGGCATTAGTGCGTATAAAACCAAGAAATCATTACAAGAAGAAAGCTAAAGGGACCTCCTAGAACTTTTAGTATGCTATTAAAACACAGGAATGCAACTAATCTCAAAATACTCTACCAATCTGAGACAAACAAGTTTTTGAATTCAATGATTTCATAGAAGATCCATGAATTTGGAAATTTCTATATTTTCTTAGATTAATCT